GTCGCCATAAGGCCGACCGGTGGCCGCCAGTCCCGCGTAGATTCCGGCGAGGGCGGTGGCAGCGGTTCCCTGATCAAACCAAAAATCACGGGGCGAGACGATGAAGACGACGACAACCAATCAGTCGGCCAAGCAACCAAGCAAATCAAAACAAATACTGTAGTAACACGACAGGAGGGGGCCCGCAAAATCGCACTTCCCTGATCAATCACGGGCGAGCCGACGACGGCAACAACCAACCGACCAAGTCGCCAAAATCAGCAAAGCACAGGTAAACCAACCGAACTCACGAGGACGGCCTCCGCCAAAATCACCAAGAGGGGTCCCGCACAATCACAAGGAGGGGGTCCCGCCAAACGACAAGGAGGGTCCCCGAAAAACATAAAGCCGGGGGACGGGGTGTCCCGCAGGAGATGGTCTCTTGATTTGGAGACGAGATGGCTTCGGACTGCTCGAGCTCTTCTGTGTAGCATGTTCTCCTCGTCTCGCCCATGAGGAGTGTGGTCTTGGCTGGTGTGTGCTGTGTGCTGTCGGCGTCCGGTCGGATACAGGTGTAGCGGTACCTACCTCTTTTTCGTCGCTGTTCTCAACCCTTACACTACCTCTTCGCGCTCGTGCGTTTTGCCATCGTATCGTGTAGCACCGTCGCATACTCACAACTGCAGACCATCACACCGCCGCTGCGACCAACAGCAACAACGGGAAGAGAACCGAACCTGTATGTCGTCGTTGAAGCAGAGGTGCTTGTAGCGGTAGCGCTCGAGGAGCTTGCTGGCATACTCCGTGCGGAAGTCTTCAAACTGGGCAGAAAAGAAAACAGCAACAAAGAGACGAAAACGCGGCGCGCGACGGACATGGGGTAGGCCAAGGTGTCAACGAGAACGACCAGACCTGTTCGCACAACAACACCTATCATCACCATATCATGGATGGACTGCAGAACAACCACACCGGCAACATGTGGCAACAGCTAGCAAGCACTAGAAGACGAAAACAGTAGCAACAGCTACACTATATCGTGGACAAAAAAAACAGCAACATTCCACGACAACAACAACAAAACAACATGACGCAACAACGTGCACCAGCAGCAGCAGCAGCAGAAGTAGAAGCATCGACAGCAACAGCAGCAGTAACATATAATTTTACCTGAATCAAGGCCTTGGGCCACCTGGCCTTGACCGCGGCAACGAACTCGTCCACCACCTGGAGGTACTCGTCTCCCTCTAGCCTCTCCTGGTTCAGACCGAGGTAGCTGCACAGAAAAAGAGACAAAGAGACACGGGTACAGACCGACACAGGGAAGCAACAGCACCAAAATCAACAGCAACAGCAAATAAGCATCAAACAACAACAAGCAGCTGCAACAAGCAGCAGTAGCAGCAGCACGACCACCACCACCAACAGCCATGAAAATTGATGCAGGTTTCGAGTGCGTCATGAGTACGTACCGATGAATATTGATTCGGTGGGGAGGTGAAATGACAGGAGACACGCAGATCGGAATGCATTGCTTACCCCATTGAGAGTGCACACCTACGGTACCACTGAAACCGGGGGCCGGACGTTCTGTTGGGTCCCTCCCCGCCCCCTTCAGGGAAAGCCCGCGGAGTAGAAACGATTCGCGCATTCTACCCATCAGCTACGAGCGCATGTGATCGCTTTGGTTGGAACGCGGTCACCAAACTGAAGGGGTTTCATTTCATCAAAAGGTCAGCCGGCCACCACGGTCGAATCCAAATCTAGGATACGCAAGTACGGCCGCACTACGGGGGGACGAAAATTCTCCTCCGCGAGACCGCGCACCGTGCTGTGGCTGTTCGGGAGAGAAGCCAAGACCGTTACGGTTCGGTACGGTAGACAGAATCATACACAGTGGGAGCGACGGTGACAGACACACCTACGCAAAGCAGAGAAAGCGCACACCTACCGTTCGGTTGCGCTTACGCTTACGCTTTCGCCTGCTGTTACTCTTACGCATTCGTCTACGCTTAACGCTTAAGCCCAACGCTCAAGCTTAGGCTTAGGCATATACGCCTACGGTTACGCATTCGTCTACGCTTAACGCTTAACGCCGCTTTACACTCGACGCTTGTGCTTAACGCTTAGGCTTAGGCTTCGGCTTCGGCTTCGGCTTCGGCAATAGTTTACGCTCAGTCGTTACCTCTTGTCCGCCCGTAGCTTCTTGTTGTTGGTCCCGACGTCGATGACGCAGGGGAGCACGCGGGCCGGGTGGAAGCCCGCGGCCGCCACGTAGAGGTCTAGCTTTCCGATGGAGATGCCCATGCCGTTCATACCCAGGTCTCCGAGCCCGAGTATCCTCGAACCGTCCGTGACGACGATGGCGTCCACCTGCGTGGGAACAGGTGGCGGCCGGCCAGCCGCGTCCGATGAGCGTTTGTTGTTGTTGGTGGTGGTGGTAGAGGCGTTGTGGTTGTGTTTGTTGTTGTTCTTGATGTTGTTGTTGTTGTTGTTGTTGGTGATGTTGTTGTTGGTGTTGTTGAAGGTAGTCGTGCTGGTGGAGGTGTCGGTTGTTGCTGATGTGTGTGGCGGTGGTGGTGATCGCGGCTACTGTTTAGTGTTAGGCAAGCCGATGCTGCTAAACCCGAAATACACGGCAACACCGTCTACCAACAACCACACCCAACCAACGACAAATAACTCCAACCCTTCTGCAACAGCAACACCATCCAGCAACAACCACAACGACCAAGGACTAACAACCCTTGCGGCAACCCTACTACAATCAATGCATCATCACCTCGTGGCTGGGCCAGTTGTAGGCGATGGAAACCATGTGCCCGCGGTCCTTGGCCGAGAAGTACATACCCCTCGCGATACGGAACATGCGTGAGAAGTTCAGGCAGGCCCACCCTACCGTTGGGGTGTACACCACCGAGGCCATCTCCGCGAAGTTGTCCATGACCACACGGTAGAACAACTACGTACACGGAGACGACGCATGAACAGGCACGCGGGGGTGACGGGGTTGGACCGATTGGGGGGGGGGGGGGTCCCGGACATGCGAAAAAACTTCAGGCAGCCAGCCCCAGCCGACTGGCGGTGCGTGTTCCACAGCAGCCATCTCGGCGAAGTTGTCCATAAGTACACGGAAGAACAACTACATACAAGCAGACGACACATGAACAGGAGGGTGGGGGTGACGGGGTTGAAGAGGTGGGGGGGGGTGTGGCTGCCCATGTACAAAAAAAACCCGCGGGTGGGTGGGTAGGGGTAGGGGTGTCGTTTTCTGTTGTTTGTGCACGGAGGGAGCCTCTGAAAACCAAAACTCCGTTCCTTATTCGTTCGCACCACACAACGACAACGAGACGAAACAGACTTTGAAGAGGCCAACCAACGCAAAAAAACACACCAAAAACAACAAGGACAGGGGCGGCGGCACATGAGAGCGGGGAGGCATCGGACAACAGCCTGCTGCTGCGGTGATCGTACACACAGAAGCACGTCTGCTACAGCTTGATGCGGGCTTGCCTTCCACTTCTGAACCGACTAATCGGGGCCACAACAAATACCCGCTGCAAAGACTGCCACATAACCCCTGCTACCGATGTGGTACTACCTCAACCGGTTGTCTTTCAGCGAATGATTGCATAGGCAGAATCGGCGGCGATGACAGGTAATGGATTCGTCTTGCGCTGGTCCTCATGGGGCTGCCAAATCACGTCCAACCAAGAAACGTAAACCCTTGTTGGACGCGAAGAGACAATCTCGTGGGGACCACCAGTGCAAAGACAAGCATTGGCACAACGAACGCATTGCTGGTCATGGACGCCGATTCTGGCACTTTGGAAAAAGAAAACAAAAAAACGAAACTGTCACCAGCACCGGTTCGCGCGAGCACACACAAGAAAAAAAACAGCCCTGTTAGGTGTGTACTCAGCACTAGACACGAATCTACGGAGATCTAGGGGGTTTCGTGCATCACGCTGGAATGTATTTGTAGAAGGGCGATCCCCCTTCTGCCTAGCGCGCCCTGCTCACTAGTCAACAACCATGGTCATGAGTCAAACCTATAAATCCGCAGCCGCTGACGATAATAAGCACCCCCAACAAACCCACCGTTTCGTTTTGCCCCTGGATGCCCTTGAGGTACTCCCATTTCCGGATGTTGTCCGGCGTAAGGCCGGCCTGCACCATCTCGTCGTTGGGGTCCCGCGCCGCCTTGTCCCACGACCCTTCCCTGTTTTGTAAGCGTTCGGAACAAGAGGTCAGGCAGCAGCAGCAGCACCATCATCATCATCACTACCTCGGACAGGAGGTTTATTCGGGCTTGTGCGCTTGGCTCTTTGTCCCTCACCCCCTGTGAAATCTACCACCGCAGACCAGTAATTTTGTCCAACGTTTTACAATCATTCCGCGGCGGTGGCACCAATGCCAAAAAACGCGCTAAACATTTGAGGAAAACCGTGGTAAACCCGCACCGTCTGGTGTTGGGACACACTCTCCAGCCTACCACAGGTGTGGGTTTGTCGCTCACCGGTACTCCTCGAGAACCTTGGCAGTCTGCCCGTGTGCAAGGATCACCGATGCGGCGAAGAGCAACGCGTCCGCAGCCCGGCAAGGGGGGATCGGCAGAAGGGCCAGAGCAGGGGAAGGGGTAGGCGGGTCGGGCCGGGTCGGGCCGGGAGTTGCTGCATGCACCCACGATACACATACTCTCATGGCCATCCTATTTTGCTAAACTGGGCCGCTGCCCACACCTCGTCATTGAACCCGCCGACTCGCGTCTGGCACTACTCAAGCCGCCATGCTACGGGTCTGTGGCGTGCTGTACTGCCGCCGCCGCCGCCGCCTAGTGTCCTTGCCTGCCTCTCCCGCCGGCGGTTCCCTCGACCGTACATGAAATTATTTCTCTATAATTGCTAAATAGTGGTGTACCGTATGAAGTACTATGCAAGAAAACATACCCGGTAATTACAGTTTGGCTTCAAAAGAAAACAATCATTTCATTCGGTGTGCCTAATTTGTGTGGGGGGTGTCGCCTCTAGTTTTCGCCCTATCATGGTTTGGGCTCATGTCGACCCGTGAAAATATTGCCATCGGGTACGGCATTGTGTGAGGGACGTGGCATCTTTACGGGGGGTGTTATCTTCGTATTCTATGGTAGCACTCTGTAGCGCCGACGGGTATTTTCTTGCCCTTCTCTCTTGCGGGCGGTTCCTACTCTCATAGAGGAAATATATATAGAGAAGAATATTTATGTTAGACCCATGTTTATGGTCGCCAAATCTTTGCGAAAATGTTTATATTTTCAAACATTTGCGGACAAAGATTTTGTTTCACTGTTTATGGGAGAAAATCTTCGGCAAAATATTCTCAAACATTTTGAAATGGGGCAAAAGTCGCTCGTTTGACAAAATATTCTCAAACATTTTGAAATGGGGCAGGTCGCGAAAATGTTTCCCAAGAGCGGCGAGATTAGTAGCCGACCGCCCCTTCCGTCCTAAACACCAACCACTGCGCAGCGCACACTCAACGTAGTAAGCTCACAGAGGGATCCGGACAACCCTAGAGTCACCGTGTCAATGTTTTGCCGGCTGATACATGGCGGGAGCTCGTCAAGCGTGCACAAAAAAACAAACAGACAGGGGTGGTTTGGAGGGCCCGGAGAAAGCGTGGTTTGTGTCTCCGAACGGCAAAAGTCGGCTGCTTGAGAGGAGAGGTGAGCACAAAACTATCCAGCTCTCGTCCTCTAGAGCATCGATTCATGTTTTGTTTTCTTGGGTGTCTTCTCCATCAACGGCTCTCATCCGGGTGTGCGTGGTTCAGCAGTGGACGTACTCAACAGGCAGGGAGGCGCGTCGCTGTGAACTCGATGTGTTGAAAAAGTCTTTTTTGGGACGGAGGAACAAGCCCTTTATATTCAAGTGAAAAAATAGACCGAAAAAAACGTTGTGTCCACAACTTTGCGCGCACAACGATGTGCCTCCCTGCCGGCTGAGCGCGGCCACTGCCAACCCACGCACAACCGGATGAGAGTCGTTGATGGAGAAGACACCCAAGAAGACAAAACATGAATCGATGGTCTAGAGGACGAGAGCTGGATAGTTTTGTACTCACATACCATGTCCTCTCAAGCGGCCGACTTTTTGCCGTTGGGAAGCGCTGACGCACGTTATGGTCTCTTTTTGACACCGAGAACATTTCTTCTCGCACGCCCGGAGCGCTATCGCCACATACTGGCGGGCACAGCATCAGCTCAGTGCATCAAGGGTTGTGGGGAGCCCTTTGCGAGCTCGTTACATTCAGTTTCCATGACGCATTTGTGGTTTGTCTGTCACAAATCGTTTGGTAGCAGTAGACCACGATTCCCGCCGCACGTGCGATGAATTTCGAGAAAACCACACGATAAAGATTTTTTTGCCCATAAAAACGGTACTCAAATGTTCCTCTGGCAGATATTCGCGCCCAAATGTTTGACAACATTTGAAGATTTTTTTCAAACATTTGGCGACCATAAACATGGGTCTTATAGAGAAAAATATTTATGTTAGGTGCTGCTGCGGCTTTCTACCCTTGCCTTCTCTCTCCCATACGAAGGTCCTTTTACATTGAACAGAAAAAAAAAACCAGCAATACTACGGCAGTTCTGCCGTGTGCTTGCCTGCTCTTCCATGGTGACCATGCGGGCGGGCAGGAGTCCCCTGAGATGGAAACGCTCCCGCTCCGACCACAAGAACGCCGTGCCCTTGTTCACGAGCGGGTCCAACAGCACAGGCTTCCCCAGATCCCGCACGTACGTCGGCAGCTCCTGTTTCCAGTGAAAATACGGGTTATGGAAGTGACGAAAAAAAACAACAAAACAAAATAGCAATCGTTCTCGCGAGTATCCTCTGCTGGATCACGGATGGGGGGGGGTTCTACCAATCATACCAGGTCGCAGTCTTCAGGCCGTAAGACCCTGGAATCACGACAACGCTGTGGCGGATCACGCCGGATAGTCGGCAACCAGGCTTGGGGGGGGGGGGGGGGGGGGGGGGCCCCCTTTTTTTTCCCCCCCCCCCCCCAAAGGGAATAGGGGCCCCACAAAAAACCCGCCCCCCCGGGACCCCCCCCGGGGGAGGGGGGGGGACCCCCCGGGGGGTTTCCCCCCCCCCCTTCCCTTTTTTTTCCCCGGCCCCCCCGGAAACCCCGGGGCCCCCCCCTTGGTTTTGGGGGGGGGCCCCAAAAAAAAGGGGGTCACCCCCCCCCAAAAACCGTTCCCTTTGAAAAACCCCCACCCGGGGATGGGGTGGGGGTTGGCCTAAAAGGGGGGCCCCCCCCTTTTAAACCCCCTAGGGGATAATTTTTTTCCCCCGAATTTAATTTTTTTTTTTCCCTTTGCCGGGGGTTTTTCCCCACCGATTTTTTTGGTTCCAAGA